TGTTCTGTTCGAAAGAGCGCCCAAGGGGCAGCTAGGTGGCGCAGTGGATAGAGCACCGGCCCTGAAGTCGGGGAGGGGGGGGGGGGGGGGGAGGGGGGGGGGGGGGGGAGGGGGGGGGGGGGCGGGACCTGAGTTCAAATCCGGCCTCAGACCAAACACTTGACGTGTACTAGCTGTGTGACCTTGGGCAAGTCACTTAACCCCGATTGCCTCACTAAAAAAATTTTTTTTTAAAAACCCAAAAAAAACAAGAGTGCCCAAAGTGAGTAACTCTTTATAGCAAAGAAGATCTTGTTATGATCTGAATGAAGTAGAAAACCTGTGTCAAGTCAGTAGTATAAGATGATTCACCCAAAGTGACTGAATATATATTTTCTTTTCAAAGCATTGCACGAAGTTGTTCTGTTAATTTGAAGGCTAATTCATGCTGCCAATCAGTTATGGAGCTCCTTGAAAGAGGCAGTTGTTTGTACTTTGAAATGTTATGGGGGGGTGAAGGGGGAAGAGTGGTAGTCCAAGCATCCTACAATTTCTAAAATGCATTCTTTCACAATTTCTGTGTCACTGAATGGCTTCCCTTTTTTCCCCCTGAGTATATAAGTTATTTTATAAGTTGCTTCAGTGGCATTATTTTCAGGTCTTATTGCTGCTTGAAAGACTTGCCTGTGCTTTTCATCTTTGCAACACAACCTTTTACGTCTCTCCCTCTAATTTAAAATATTTGTGGTCCTTATGAGTGTCATAATGCTGTTAAGTATTGAATTTTTTTAAAATGTTGATATTGCAGCATCACAAAGCAAGCAAATCACCTTATCTTTAGCAGAAACACGGTAATATTGCAATTCCCAATCCTCACTTTAAAAAAATTGTTTTCTTCCTTCAGCAGTCGCTTGGTCTTCTTTGACATGATGGGTTTCTTCACTGGAGGTGCCTTTTCTTCAATTTCTTCACCTTCAAAGTCATCATCACTATAGAATCTTGCTACCAATTCCAGGAGCAGATCGTTTGCCTGACGTATTTAAGAGTTTCATATCATTTTCCTCTTCATCATCTGATTCTGCATCTTCCTCCAGTGCTACTGTGTGCTGGGCACTCACATGTACCTCCCCGAACCACATTTCAACCGCAAAACCACTGGTGGTGTAATCTCAAAGCCACCTAGAGAAATTGTAGGCTGAACAGACATTTTCAAAGATGCCAGTGCTATTTTAATTGGATTGCTTTCACAGTTCAGTGCCTCTGCTTCAACAATATGCAATTCGTCCTTTGCACCAGCCCCTAAACTCACAGTCCTCAATGACAATTGGTGCTCATTTTCATGATCTACCTTAAAATGATCATCTTTCTCAGCCTTTACTTCACAACTGAAGAGGAACTTCTGGGGCCAGAGGAGACTCATATCCATTTCTGTTGAGTCCTCCATTTGAGCAGCGGAGAGCAGAGCAGTGAGGAGAGGAGAGCAGCGAGGTGGCCCGACAGGATGAGATCAGCCTCGCGAAAGAGAACTTCTTGGAAATGAGCATTGGTCACATGAAAAAAAAATGGACAAAAATTCACTAAAGAAAAGAACTTAAGGGGCAGCTAGGCGGTGCAATGGATACAGCACTGGCCCTGAAGTTAGGAGGACCTGAGTTCAATTCCAGCCTCAGACGCATGATACTCGATAGCCATGTGACCCTAGGCAAATCAGTTAACCCCAATGGCCTGGCAATTAAAAAAAAAACACCTTAAAAAGTAGAATTGGCCAAATGGAAAAGGAGATACAAAAGCTCACTGAAGAAAATAATTCCTTAGAAATTAGAATTGGGTGAGTGGGTAGCTAATGACTCAGTGAGACATCAGGATGCAATAAAACAAAATCAAAGGGACAACAACAAAAAAAAAGACAATGTGAAATATCTCATTGGAAAAACAACAGACCTAGAAAATAGATAGATTGAGGAGAAATAATTTAAGTATTATTGGACTACCCGAAAGCCAAGATAAAAAAAAGAGCCTAGACATCATCTTTCAAGAAATTATCGAGGAAAACTGCCCTCACATTCCAGAACCAGAGGTTAAAATAGAAATTGAAAGAATCATCAATTACCTCCTGAAAGAAATCCCAAAATAAAAACTCACATCAATATTATGGCCAAATTCTATAACTCCCAGGTCAAGGAGAAAATATTGCAAGCAATTGAAAGAAAAAATTCAAAATATCATGAAGCCACAGTCAGGATAACCTAAGATTTAGTAACTTCTACATTAAAGGATTGGAGGGATTGGAATATGATATTCCAGAGGGCAAAGAAGCTAGGATTACAAGCAAGAATCACTTACCCAGAAAAATTGAGTTATAATCCTTTAGGGGGAGAAAATGGAAATGCAATGAAATTGAGACCTTTCAAGCTTTTCTTATGAAAGCACCAATGCTTAACAGAAAATTTGACTTCCAAGTATAAGACTCAAGGAAAGCATAAAAACGTAAACAAAGGAAAGAGGGATCAAAAGGGATTCAATAAGGTTAAATTGTTTACATTTCTATGTGTGAAGATGATTCTTGTAACTCTTAAGAACTTCCTCGTTATTATGACAGTTGGGAAGGATATACATAGACAGAAGGCATGCGTGTGAGTTGAATATGATGTAATGGTATCTAAAAAAAAATTGAATGGTAAGAAAGAGGAATTCATTAGAAAGAGAAAGAAAGAAAGAAGTAGAATGGGGTAAATTATCTCGCATAAAAGAGGCACGAAAGGGCATTTACCGTGGAGGAGATGGGGGAGCCCTTGAATCTTACTCTCATCAGAATTGACTCAAAGGAAATAACATACACACTCAGTTGGTTATAGAAATTTATCTTATCCTACAGGAAAGGAGGAGAGGAAGGCGATCAGAGAAGGGGGAGCTTATATAGAAGGAAGGGCAAATTGAAGGAGGCAGTAGTCAGAAGCAAAACATTTTTGAGGATAAACAGGGTGAAAGGAAAGAGAATAGGATAAATGGGGAAAATAGGATGGAGGGAAATACATAGTAATTATTACTGTGAAAATAAATTTACAGTGTTTCTCTGATAAAAGCCTAATTTCTCAAATAGATAGAGAACTAAGTCAAATTTATAAGAATACAAGTCATTCCCCAACTGATAAATGGCAAAGGATATGAACAGTTTTCTGATGAAGTAATAAAAGCTATAGTAATAGGGGAAAAAGTGTTCTAAATCACTATTGATTAGAGAAATGCAAATTAAAACAACTCTGAGATACCACCTTATACTTATCAGATTGGCTAATATGACAGAAAAGGGAAATGTTAAACATTGGAGAGGGTGTGGGAAAATTGGGACACTAATGCCCTGTTGGTGGAGTTGTGAATTGATCCAAGCATTCAGGAGAGCAATTTAGAAATATGCCTATAAAATTGTATCATACCTTTAGACACAGCCATACCACTATGAGGTCTATATCCCAAAAATTTTTAAAAAGGAGGGGAGGACTTATTTGTATAAAAATATTTATGGTGGGGGATAGCTAGGTGATGCAGTGGTTAGAGCTCTGGCCTTGGAGTCAGGAGGACCTGAGTCCAAATTCGACCTCAGACACATAACACTCACTAGGTGTGTGACCCTGGGCAAGTCACTTAACCTCGATTGCCTCCCCAAAAAGAAAAAAAAATTATAGGGGCAGCTAGGTGGCACAGTGGATAAAGCACCAGCCCTAGAGTCAGGAGGACCTTAGTTCAAATCCAACCTCAGACACATACACTTACTAGCCGTGTGACCCTGGGCAAGTCACTTAACCCCAATTGCCTCATAACAAAACAAAACAAAAAATATTTATAGCAACTCTTTTAGCGATGGCAAAGAATTGGAAATTGAGGGGATGCCCCTCAATTGGGGAACAGCTGAACAAGTTGTGGTACATGATTGTGATGGTATACAGTTATACTATGAGAAATGATGAACGGGATGCTTTCAGAAAAACCCAGAAAGACTTACATGAACTTATGCAAAGTGATGTGAGAAGAACCAGGAGAACATTGCACACAGTAACAGCAGTGTTGTACAATGATCAACTATGAATGAGTTAGCTATTCTCAGCAATACAATGATCCAAGGCAATTCCAAAGGACTTATGATGACAAATGCTATGCATCTCCAGTGCAAGAACTGATGGAGTCTGAATGCAGATTGAAACATACTTTTTATTTTTTACTTTATTTTTCTTGTGTTTTTTTAGGGAGGTCTATAATTTCTTTTATATGACTAGTATGGAAATATGTTTTGTGTGATTATACATATATAACCCATATCAAATTACTTGCCATCTCAGGAAGGGGGGAGGAGAGGGAGGGAATTTGGAACTGAAAATTTTTTAAAATGTTAAAAATTGTTTTTACATGATTTTGGGGGGAAAATAAAATATTGGGCAAAAAGGGCCAAAATATTTTTTAAAGAATTTTCTAAGGGGCAGCTAGGTGGTGCAGTAGATAGACCACTGGACCTGAAGTCAGGAGGACCTGAATTCAAATCTGGCCTCAGACCAAACACTTGACACTTACTAGCTGTGTGACCCTGGGCAAGTCACTTAACCCCAACTGCCTAAAAAAAGAAAAAGAAAAAGAATTTTCTAAGTTATGTGGAGGAGATCAACAATGTCAAAAGGTATACATATATATATATGTATATATATATATACATATATATATACATATATATATATATATATATAATTTACTTAGATACACTGAGAAAATGGGGGAAGGAAAAAATTTTCTACGAGTCTTTCTCTCTTGTTAGGGTTTTTGTGTATTGAAAGTTTCTTCCCTTTCCTTATGAAATCTAAGTTAGCATTTTGAATGTTAAATGAAAAAAAAAATCTAAGCACCCTTTGATTCCTCATCTGAGAAAACAACTCAAGACTATTCTGTAGGGCACTTGCCAGGTGACTGACATGTCTTAAAAATGTTTTTGTCCCTTCTTTTTCACTTTCACCCCTAAAACAAAGCAAGAATGTCTCCCCGATTTTCCCAATAACAAATTCACAGATAAATTTCCAGTTGGCCCCATAGTACTTGACATCATAAATAAGACCCTCTACATCCCATCTTGTTATTAAATAAATCAGAAAACATTCTTTTCTCATTTTTTTCTACCGATTAATGTGTTCAAAGATCCAAAGCATCAATCTGAAAGTTGCCGTAGCTCACCACCTACCATCATCCTGGAATCCCAAAAAGTTGTTACCATTTCTAACACTTCAGAAAGGGGTTTTTTCTATATCAAAGAGGAAGTCTGGGAAATCATCTTGGAAGTTTCCATACCATCCCAGTCTGGGAAACTGTCACACCCTTACCCCAATCTGAATGAAAATTCAGAAGCCCAAGCATTCCACTCCCATCATCAGTCAGCTGTAAGGAATGTCTTTTAATAAATGTCCACAGAATACAATACTTGTACTGTCTCTCTTATAGCACGGTGGTAGGAAAGTCTGCAAAGCGTTTTATAAAAGTGAGCTGCCATGATAATGTCAAAAACCTGCAGAGGCATTCCCTTTTCCTTTCCCCAATGTGGATGCTTGGGTTATCAAATAATAATTCTTTTGTGGAGGTAATTGCCACTATATGAAGGAAATGAAATGGAGGCAAATTTAGACTTGAAGTCAAGTTAAACTTGACATCAGTTACCTTGACAACTTGATTTCCTAATAAGAGATATCTAAAAGTGGAATGAACTTCCTAGAGAAGTAATAAGCTCCCCATCCTTAGAGGGCTTCAAGCAGAAGCTTGGCAACTACTTGTCAGGGATGTTATAGTGAGGATTCCTCTCAGGTATGAATTGGACTATGTGGCCTCTCAGGTCTCTGCAAACCCTCAAATTCTGCAATTCTTCTTCTGTATAATGGGTATAGTAAAGTTCTAACTTTAGTGTTGCCATTGGCAAGCCTTTGGTGAAGTGCTTTATAAAAACAAGATGCTGTGATAATGTTACAAACCACAAAATCCAGCTACAGTTACGGCCACTAGAAGATCTGCCCTGACAACCAAAATCCAGAGAGAACTAAGTGGTTTATCCGTCTTGCCCAAACTGCACATCTCAAGGCTGAGCACAGGGCTCAACCCTCAGCACATGCATAGGCTCCCTAATGTCCTTTGCATTTTTGTTGTGGTTTCCATGACAGTCAATGTAAATGGCTTAGTGAAAGCCAAATCTGGAAGTCATAAATGTGATCAGTAAATAAGCATTAATTAAGCACTTACTGTGTGTTAGGCACTACACTAAGGACTGAGCCTACAAATGTAATGGGCATGCCTGAACCACCTAAGTTGTCATCACCCACATGGAAAATTCTAGGGGACTGGCTTCCGGGAGACTAGAGGACCAGAGTATATGTGGACATTTTATATTGGCCTACCATGCAACCGGCAGCAAATTTTTCCATTGGCTCTCTGCCATCTTTAAAACTGCCTGATTGAGACTATCAGGGCTGCAATTGCATCTGAGAGTAAAGGACTTCTTCATATCATGGGGTAAGCTGGGACCTGAAAGGGCACCTCCATCTACTCTCCAATTTAGGCCAGATGGACCTAAGACCATGGCCTAGAATTTTGGCCTTTTTTGTTTGTGCTTTTCCATTATAAGAACAGGGAGTAGGGTCTTCTAACCATTAGGATCCAGGAGTCCAGGAAACCAGATGAGATGTTGTAGCCAGCCCAGCAACAAAGCCCTGAGGAGCAACGGTCCAACTGAAAGTCAAGCAGAAGTCTGAATTACTGGCTGTGGACTTGAACTTGGTGTGACTATGTAGAAACTAAGCTAAATTTTGAATAGTAATCCTCCTTCCCTACTCAGAGGCTAAGATGTTGTAGGGTGTATATTACACCCCAAGTGATGGAGGAAATGTACCTTTGTTCTTGTTATATTTTGAAGTAAAAACTCCTTTGCAAAAACGAATACGCTGCTAAATGGTTAGTTAAATGGCACTGGAGTGTTAATCACTGGACCCCTAAAGCAATGGAGGCTCTAGCCAGTGGTAGAAAAGAGAGATTCACCAAGCCTTTCTAAGTACTGGAGAAGGAGGAAGGGAGCGTTAAAATATGATAGGTGTGGCCCTCAGACAGCAAAGCCAAAGCATCCATGTTACACAGAGAAAAGTCCTTGCCCTCATGGAACTCACATTCCAATGATGGAGTAAATATGCAAACAATTGCATATGCACACAGTATACAGAGAGGTGAAAAGAAGTAATCTCAGAGGGAAGAGATTTGGAGGGTTGATGTGGACCAGGAAAGGCCTCCTATATAAAGTAAGGTTCAAACCAAGTCTTGAAGGAAGCCAAGGAAACCAGGAGGTGGAGGTGAGAGGGAGAGCATTCCAGGCAAAGAGAACAGGTCAGTGTTGTTGGATGATGGAGTGTATGTAGGGGAGTCAAGTGTAGGGAGAGTGGAAAAGAAGGAAGAGACCACACAGTCAGTTACCTGACTCTAAACCAGTGAACGAGAAAATGGACATAATTTAATTGAGAAAATCAGGGGGTGGAGATGGAAGTGGCAGTATTTAATAGGTGTTGAAGTATCTTCTTTCACCCAATATGGTTGCTTAGTTTCTTGATATGAATGCCTTTCATATATATATATATATATATATATATACGTATATATATACACATACATGTTATGTTATGTTATATATATGGGTGTATACATATAAAATGCTATAAAATATGAAGAGCAACCTAGAAGAGTAGCACTTAGAGGCAGGAGACCTGGATTTTAATCATACTTCCCAGTTGTGGGATGCTCAGGGAAGACTAGCACCTCTAGTATAAGGTCCTGTCTAGCTCTTTTCAGGGCTGCTCATACACCTTTGGGGGCTACCTAGTTGCAATTCTCACCTATGGCTCCAAGAAGCTGTAGCATGCATATCTGCCACACTCTGGTAAACCCTGTTGGCAGACAGGCCTCAAAGCTGTTATTGAGCTAAGCTTCCTTTGTGAGGAAAACTCCAGGGCCCCTTTCTTGATCTGGTTTGTTCTGGATCACTCTGGTGAGGCACACCTCTGAACTGGCATAGCTGGCTATGGACTTCAATCTCTTCTCTTTTCCATTTATCTGATAAATGCATGTCCAGCTATGGAATTTGCAAGTCTCTCTCTCTCTCTCTCTCTCTCTCTCTCTTTTTCCATTTGTAATGGCTTCATTGTTCTAGGGCAGTGAGGGAAAATTAGTTGGTAGAAAGCCCACTTCTGACACCAATTAATGTCAACCTGACTGGAATAGCCTCTAACCTTGGGTTTAGAAGTTGGGGGGGGGGGATTGCTTCCATTTGCAAATGTCTTTTCCTCACTCTGAAATTAATTAAATTTCTGTTTCCGTCCTGATTCTCCAGTCTCTAGCCTGCTGTGTTAGTTTGGCTCTGGCTAACCACAGGTTAGGGTCCAGTTCCAGTCCAATTGACACTATTAATTACTATTATAGTGAGGATTATTATTACTTATATTATTAACTGCTATGACTATTGAGATTATTACTATAAATTACTATTGTTGTTTGTCCATTTTCTAAGAGAACCAATGACATCATGGGTGATGTCTTGACTTTCAAGTAAATTGGATTTAAGTGAGCAAAGTTGCATAAAGTTCTCAGCATCATGCTCTCTTCCAGAGTTATTGAAGTCCAGTGGTAAGACGAAAGTCAAGACAACTGGCAACGGCCTGGGGTGTAGTAGATGACGTTGGCATCTTTGATGTCTGACCACGCTCCAAGTGCTCCAAAGTACCTGCTTCAGCCACCTTCATGGCCATTGGAACAAATTGTTCTCATCTGCCCATTCTGCCCTCAGCTACCCCAATATGGTCTAGCCAATCTGCTGAGACTGTTTACAAGGGTGTGGTGGTCGTGCATACTGCATCTTCGTGGAGCCACAGGTAAGAGCTGAGTGCCAGGTTGTTGTTGTTTGTCCTTCATTCTCAAGGAGGACTTTGATATCAGGGAGGTGATGGGAAGTGAGGGAGGGCTGTGCAAAGTCACCAGCTTCACTTTCTCCTCCAGAGCCATCTGGGTCCAGTGGTGAGATATAGATCAGGATGATTGGAGATGGCCCTGGATACAGCGGGAGACCTTTTAAGCTAAGGTCAATGGCAAGTCTCAGTTTGCCCTAGGTAGACACCAAAGTGGATGAGCAGCCATGAAAAGAGCTTGTCAAGGCCTCGTACCAGAAGTGCTAGCCCTCCTTGAAAACCCCATCAACCCCTAATTACTATTACTATTAATGTTAATTACTATGAGTATTACTAATCATTTTGTCCTGAGCTATAATTTTGTTGTTGTTTGGATTGCAAGGAATCCTGAAATTCAAGGGGCTGGGGGTGAGGGTGGGGAGGGGTCTGCCTCAAAAGAATTAGATCACTCAAGCCTTCTTTCAGTCAAGGGGCAATTTATTGTGACAACAATAGAAGTGGGCAAGATTCTTAGGGAACCCACAACTTGATGGGGATGAGACTGATGCTTCAATAGGAAAAGGACAGTGAAAGGATCTAGATGGGATTAAGGAGCGGTAAGCTTCTGGGGTGGGCCAGGTGCAATAATGAAAGGAGTATTAAGTAGTCTGGAATGGGTCAGTAGTGACAGTGACTGTCAAGTAAGTTAATTAAGTGATCTAGGTGACCTGGGGTGGGCCAAATGCCTTGGGCAGAGGTGCCAATGATCTGGGCCACTGAAATGTATGGGAAAATTCAAGGACTGGGTTGCTTTCAAAGACATGGTCTTTTCCTTTTAGGGGTCCAGGTCCCATCATCCCATCAATTTCATTGCTGAAGGGAGCTCCTGGTAAGGAAGCTCTTTCCCACAAGGCAGTTTTCCATCTGTGCTGCAACTTAACAGTTTTAGAGAGTTGCCTGGAGGCACTGAAAGATGAATTGACTTGTTCAAGGACATAGGAGGCCAGTGTCAAGAATGGGTCAATAATTTCTCTTTTGGACATGTTAAGTTTGAGATGCCTTAGGGACATCCAGCCAGAAATGTCCAATAGCACTGGACATTTAGTGATGCAGGACTGGAGATCAGGAGAGAGGCTGAGCTTAGATATATGGATCTAGAAGTTATCTCTTTTTTTAAATATAAATTTATTTATTTTTAGTTTGCATCATTTACTTCCGCAAAATCTTGAGTTCCAAATTTTCACTCCATATCGCCCCTCCCCCACCCCAAGATGGCATGCATTCTGAATACCCCTTCCACTAGTCTGCCTTCTCTTCTATCTCCCCCCCCTTCTCTTATCCCCTTCCCCTTCTATTTTCCTGTAGTGCAGGATAGACTTCTGCACCCCATTTCCCGTATTTCTTATTTCTCAGTTGCATGTGAAAACATTTTTTTTAAACATATGTTTTTAAAACATTGGGTTCCAAATTTTCTCCCTTCCTCCCTCCCCACTCACCCTCATTGAAAAGGCAAGCAACTCAATATAGGTTATACATGTGCAGTTATGCACATGTATGACAAGTAAACATGTTGTGAAAAACTAACTCTATTCCTTTAATCCTATCCTGCCCTCCTATTTATTCTATTCTTTCTTTTGACCCTGTCCCTCCTCAGAAGTATTTGCTTCTGATTACCCCCTTTCCCAACCTGCCCTACTCTCTATCATCCCCCTGCTCTCTTGTCCCCTTCTTCTCCTATTTTCCTGTAGGGTAAGACAGATTTCAATACCCAATTGAATATGTATGTTATTCCCTCCTTAAGCCAAATCCTATGAGAATAACATTCACTCATTCCCTCTCACCTTCCCCTGTTTCCCCTCCACTGTAAGAGCCTTTTCTTTTCTGTTTTTTTTTTGTGAGATAATTTACCCCATTCTACCTCTCCCTTTCTTCTTCTCCTAGTATAATCCTCTCTCATCCCTTAATTTTATTCTCCAGATATGACCCCTTAATCTTCAACTCACCCTGTGCCTTCTATCTACCTATCTCTCCCTCTCCCTCTCCCTCTCTCTCTCTCTCTCTCTCTCTCTCTCTCTCTCTCTCTCTCAGTAGTTGGAGGGAAAAATTATATGTCTGTGTATGTATATATATATACATGTGTGTATACATATATACACATATATATACATATGTGTGTGTGTATATATACACATATACACAAACATAATTTTTTCCCTCCAACTACCCTAATACTGACAAAGGTCTCATGAGTTATAAATATCATCTTTCCATGCAGGAAGTTAAACAGTTCAATCTTAATAAGTCTCTTACGATTTCTCTTTCCTGTTTACCTCCTCATGTTCCACTTGAGTCTTGTATTTGAAAGTCAAATTTTCTATCCAGTTCTGGTCTTTTCATCAAGAATGCTTGAAAGTCCTCTATTTCACTGAATGACCATTTTTCCCCTGAAGGATTATACTCAGTTTTGCTGGGTAGGTGATTCTTGGTTGTAATCCTATCTCCTTTGCCCTCCAGAATATTATATTCCATGCCCTGTGGTCCTTTAATGTAGAAGCTGCTAAATCTTGTGTTATCCTGATTGTTGATTGTTATCCTGGTACTTGAATTGTTTCTTTCTTGCAGCGTGTAATATTTTCTCCTTGACCTGGGAACTCTGGAATTTGGCTACAATATTCCTAGGAGTTTTACTTTGGGGATCTCTTTCAGGAGGAGATTGGTGGATTCTTTCAATTTCTATTTTGCCCTCTGGTTCTAAATATCAGGGCAGTTTTCCTTGATAATTTCTTGAAAGATGATGTCTAGGCTCTT